TGTACTGCGTATCTTAGTGCCCAGTGCCCACTAATATCTATACTTAAAATATATAATATTAGATACAACTGATACAAGATTACTGGTAATTACTTATTAGGTAGGTATATTACTTAATACGAATGCAAGTGTTACTTATATAAATCGTTTTTCTCGCGGCAGATAACACAATTTATGACATAAATGTTTTTATTACTATTTGTTTTCTTCGATATTTTTATTGCCGATATTTATTCATCAATTCTATATCTTTTGGGAATCCAATAATATTTACATAGAATACTTTGTTAATTAACCACTGCAAGTTATCAGGTAATGTCCTGAAAAATAAATGCAATAAAAGGTGAAATAATTACTCATTAATTATATACCTAGTCATAAGTTATCACTTATTAGCCAAATTCCGACAGTTAATAATAATAAATAGGTAGTAATATAGGTAGTAATAGTTGTAATTAAAATTTTAATTATTTATACTAATACTATGTGATTGATGTATTATACTCGTATATATATAACTAAATCCTGATAAGTGATAACTGTTTACTATAATATGCAATAATGTGCATAGATAATGCATGCGACTATGAAAGTATTTAATTCAACTATATTAGAATTTAGATGTTGATTGACCTAGTTATTAGGTTCAATGCATAAAGAATTGAAATGTGAATTAGTAACTTAGTAGTAAATTGTTATTAAAGTTTAAAATATTTAAACATACCTTACGAATTTAACTGGGAACATGAAGTGATTTGGAACTGAAAAAATTCTTCGATTTTCTAGTATACCATTCATAACAATTTCACCAACAAAAGATGTCGGCATTTCTGGTAATCTAAAATATATTTACCTAGTCGATTAAAACATTATTCCTGATTTTAAATTGACTAATATTTAACGTATACCTGAGTTCTAAATGTTTCGATATTTCCGGATTTGTCTCTATAAAGTACGGACACACCGTCGTCGACACGACGGCCGATTTCAATGCTCTCAGTTCATTATGCAAACTCTCCATCATGCCTATATAGACATAAGTATACATATATAGATAAATATAAAAAAGAATTTCGTCGTAAGATTTATGTCTTATAATGCGATCCAATAAGTTGAAAAAAAAATAATAATATAATAGTATGTATAATATATTTGATTTAATATTAGTTTTATAATATTTACTATTATTTACCATTTGTCGCCCATTTGGTGGCCGTGTAAGTAGATATTCCAGACAATCCACTCATCGACGACATGGACGATATAGCAACAATTTGTCCGCGATTTCTTTCCAACATCGAGGGCAGTAATTCCCTATTGATCTATAATTTTTTTTATTGTTATCTAAAAATCATTGGTGAACGAAATTGGGAATTAAATTAATCATTCTATAATAGTGTGTTTTATAATGAAATCAGTTCAGATATTGAAAACAAATTAAATACGAGCTATATGTATGGTAAAATTAGATTATTAAAAATTACTTTTAAGCTTGTGGTTATTACTTATTAGTACAAACGTCAAATAATAACGTATTAAATGTATTTTCAAACTTAGAAATTTGTTTTTCTAAAATGTTCAGACATGGTAAATGGTAATATAATTAAAAGTTAGTGAAAGGTAACGATACCATAATATAATATTATCATCGACATGTTATTAGTATTATAGTCGCGGTGCCATTTTTTGTGCTGCGCTGCGATTAAGGCATTGCAGCCTATAGCTCACCCAGATTTGTCCCAGGAGATTGACGTTTATMAGATCTTCGATAAGCTGATCCGATTCGGGATTGACGTACATATGGGCCAATACGATGCCTGCGTTGTTCACCACTATGTCCACGGGACCCAGTTCTTTTATGACGGTCGCGTGCATATTCCTGATTTGCTTCCGGTCGGTAACGTCGACTTTGTAATCTTTGGCTATACCACCATGTCGGTTAATCGCCTTCGCTGTCTCTGCGCAACCTTCGCCGTCGACGTCAACGCAAGCAACTTTGGCGCCCAACTTGTGAAACCTAATGCAAAGTTCGCGTCCCAAACCTCGCGCTGCCCCGGTAACCTATAAATTGATTATAATATTTTTTTTTTCCTATTAATTGTCTTTGGTATCAAATTCGTGGTTATTATATAGTCGGCATGACATGTTAACATTTTCTTACATTACAATAAATTAAATTGTATTAAATTATACAATTAACATTATTATACATATAATACAACATATTTTTTTWAAAGTAACATTAATAAATAAGATGATGGAGTTTGGTTTCGTTGATGAAATTCGTTAATTTTCTGGACGTCTCGAGAGTGATCCATAATATTTTATATTAGTCTATAATATAGGATTCTAGTACACGTTATGTGTAGAGGCGTATTTAGGGGATGGCGGCGATTGTTGTGAGCTAAATTATTGTAGGTTCCTATTATCGTTCAAAACAATAAGCATCATTTCACCGATGAATGTAAAATGTTATAATTATAAATCCGTTAAGATTTGACATTATAAATAATGTTATAATAATTTATATATATTATAATATATATATATATAATAATATTTAAATACATTTCATATCACAACATTTAAACATATCCACTATCCACTATCCACCTAAATATTACACCAACAAATATCGATTTTAACGATTAAAATTGAGTTGATATTAGAATAATTTAAAAAAACTAACTCAATTKTCAATAGGTATTTAGGTATCATAGAAATTATATTTTTTTGATTACTTACCAAAACCACTTGGCCACTTATGTTTTTTCGTGGAGATTTACAAAATGATTTTATTATTGCCCATAAAACAGCCGGTATTATAAGTAAAACGCACAACAATATTTCAAATATTAATCTTATCGGATTGGCTGGGATTTGTTTGTACTGACATTTTTTGAGAGATTTATTTCTCACAATTGCCATATTTATATTTGTATATTTTCAGTTAAGCTAATTTACCTACCTACTATAGAAGTTTAAAACGAACTAAAGTATAATTGAAACCAATAAACAAAGTTGAAATAACCAATACTCATAATAATACTTAATGCCGCAATCGATCATTTGATTCAATGACACATTTATTAAAAAATTGCTGAGTAACTTACAATAAAATTTTATGTCAATAAGAATAAGATAATGCAATRCAAATTAATTTTACTGATAATCAATGTAAGTGGCGTGAAAGTTAGCATGGTAATATTATTTTATATTAATAGTAGTGGCGGCAAAATGATTTTGTCAAGGGAGGAGTATAGCTGATTTTTTAACATGTACTATTTGATTATTAAAAATATATAATTATGGTTATCAACTCTTGAACATTAAAAAAAAATCACGGTTATCCATCCGTCTCAACCGCCGGTTTAACTGTCAGTCCACTTCTGATTAGTAGGTAGGTACTTTAATATTTTGTTTGGGAAACAAATATTATTTTAAATATTTTTAAGGTTTTAACAGTACAATTCTAAGATTCTAGTTATTCAGTACTTAGAATTTAATTTTTAGGCTTAAAAATTATTTATGCTAATGATTTCTGATTATCTCAGTATAACGGTTAGATTTCGTTTCTCCGTTTGGTTGTAATTACTAATTAGTATAAATGACAACATAATTCTACAAAAAATTATCTTTTTATTATTATTTGTTCATTATAAAAAATATATTATAATAATATATTACTTATTAGTTATTACCCATGGTATTATGGTAAATTATACTATTATATTATAWTGAAATCTACCGTGGTGGTTATTACTGACTACATATGGTCATCAATTTTATCTTGGTAGCTGGCAAATGTTAGACTAAGCCAAAGAAAATGTTTTGTAAAAAATAGGGGCAGATTCACATMTTGTAGTCTGTAACCCCTCAAACAATATACCTGGTATTYATACTTATATAACTAAACGTAATCTGTGATCGGATGACCCATATACATTTTTATATAGAGTTAAGTAATGAGTTAAACATTTAGTTTAATACCATTTTAATTACATATATTATGTATGAATGCATAACTAAAATGTTTAACGCTTAATAAATTATAATCTATAATTTATGTAGAATAGGCAATAATATTTTTAGTTTCTTTTTCGACTTTTATTTTAAATGATATTGTTTTGTAGTTAAGTTATACTTAAGACTTAACAATCAAATATTAATAATAATGTACCAACTACTTATATTATTTGATAGCTAAACCTGACACGACCACCCCATGTACTAATAAAATGTATAGATATAGATTAAAAATAATAAAAATATTGTATTTTGTTTAGGTGCACATATAATTATTTTTATTTAAATAACAGAATAATACCAATAATTTAAATATGCTTAAAAATAGCCTAGGTTCAAAAGAATAGTGTAATTAAAACTAACAAAATTAATTCTATAATTTATTAATTGGCAGGTATCACAATATTAATCAAAGATTAATTTTTTTACATAATATTATAAATTGACTCTAATAAAATCGTCGGGTTAAAAATAAATACTAGTATATATATATATGATAATTATTATTATCGCTATAAAGCAAAACGATTGTATCTACCTACGTATAATATGTAGGCGTATCATTAAAATATTTTAAAACGTGCCTTAATTAAAATTACATTATCATTAACAATTTTAGTAATTAACACTATAAATATAATACATTTATTTTATATATAAAAATAATAATAATAGATTTTTCTAAATTTTAAATAATTTGTATTAGTCGAATAACTAAATAATGGAATTATATTTAATTAATAATGTATATAAATGTTGAAAGCTCATAAAAACGTATTTTGATTAAAATAATATAATAGGTACCTATATCTGCAGTATATTGAGATTGTTAGCCATTGTTAGCCGGCTGTCCTAGCATTAATTTTTACTAAGCCATAGCGTCCAGATCTTACAAAAACAAACTTTATAATTTAAATATTGTAAAACCACAAAGTTTCAATAAAAAAAAAAAAAATAATAATTTAAATATAATTATATTAAAACGTTATTTTAAAATGTCAAAAAACATCTTAAATGTATTTAAAATCTTACAATATTATCAACAAGCATTTTACTTATAGTACTTTTGGAGTTGCCACTTCTAACGTGATTGTAGGTAACGGCTTACGATCGCCTACCTTACGCATGATCAAGGAACTGTTTGACGAAATTGCAGACTTTTGAATTTCAGGTTTGACCACAGTTTTCATGGAAATTACACTTTTTACTGTCGTCGAATTTTCTACAGTCTTCRCAGCGACCATTTCGGACTGTTTTGGTGCCGACCTTGAGACAATATTTTCGACCGAAGGTATGCTCTGCTTTTTTGTGCCTTCTTGTATCTCCACCGACTTCGTACTCGTTGTAATTCCAGACTTTTCTAAGTTATCTGTTGGCCCTCCTGTTATCTGCGGGGTTTCCATTGTTTTCATAGCGACCATTTCTGTAGGACTTTTGCTCAAATTTACCGTCGTCGTCGTCGTATCTGAAGCCTTTACTGTATCAGTCGCTTCTATAGGTTTTTTTACGACTTTTAAGACTTCGGAAAAGGTTGGTTTTTCGACAGTTTTCATGGCGATCATTTCAGTTGGTTCGTTTGTTGTTTTCGTATTTACTTGCGTGTCCAAAACATTTACGCGCGATGCGTCCACTGCTGACTTGTCAACTAATTCCTCGTGTATCACAATGTTCGTGGGTTTTTCTATAGTTTTTATGACGATCATCTCGGTGGGTTTAACTTCCCCGATCTCCACAGTTTCTACTATTTTTACGGTGGTTATTTCGTTTGATTTACCTTCAGTGTTCGTGTTTTTTTCAGGGGTTTCGTTGAATTTAATAGTCTTGTCGTTGGTAATTTTTTCTACTGTTTTTACATTGGATGAAATGCTTACGGGCTTTTYTTYGAAATTCGTAGAAAGGATCTCCACTGTCTTTACGTCAGTCTTCGAATCGTTCACAAACTCTGACGCCTGCGAGGTTGTCGCGTCTGCAGATTTTTCTACTGTTTGAATTGCATTCATTTCTGTGATATTATTGGGTTCGACTACTGCAGCGGGGTTTTCTACAGTTTTTACAGCCACCATTTCAGAAGAGTCTACCGCGACACCGTCTTCTGCAGTTTCCGTCGAATCAACATTTTTCTCAAACGTATCCTGCAGTGCTGCATTCGGCGGCGTATCTTCAGGATTACGGTCATGACTCACGATGGTTTTTTGACCATCAATATCGGACGGAACGTTAACTTGCTCAAACACAGGCGCTGCAGCAGCCACGGGTACCACGTCCTTTAATTTGTCTTGGCTTGAAGACGACGTTGACGACAGTTCTTCGTATCCCTGTGATGACGTCGGAACGTTTGTTGGCGGCAATTCACTGCTGTAGTGTACTTCCGGGCTTGCTGTTGCCATCGTGCAGTTCGCCGGTTTCTTGTGATGTTTTTTTTTCGATTTTACCCCGTTGTGGCGCCCGAATAATATATGTTGTACCTTATTGCCTTGCAGTATAGATCTCTGGGCGAGCTCATCGCTCGGTAACAATATTATGGMGACATCGTCCACATCCACTTGTACATTGAATTCGCCCTGTTGTCTCTGGTCGTATGTGACCGTAGGGGCGGCATGCAGAGCCCCATAGAAAACTGCCGAAACAAAAACGATCTGAAACGCAACCACCATCGTGATGTTGTATAACTACACTGCTGCAGCTCCTATTGCTACTAAATGATGGCTTGGCAACGATCGAGAAGGTATTTTTTCCCCTAGCGCACTCACTGGTCTTCGTATAACCGGTAGTCACAACAACAAACTGGAAATAAATTACAGTTTAAATACATCGTACCGAGCACGGAACTTAAATTTTGCCTGTAGCCGAGTTCGTACGTACAGGTACCGTTATAATATTATATATTGTGTTTTGTGTGTACACTGAATTGGTTAATTACATAGTTGTTATGACCGCCATCGGTTGAGATTTAAGAAAAATATAAGCATTTGGACGGTCATCGAACTCACTCAGTCAAGATATTGACCTTTAACACATTACCGAGAAACGAGTAGGTGACAATTAAATACAAAACTCGTTCTTAAAAATCATTAACTTGTTTGTATAATGTGTAGGTAGATGAAGACTGAAGAGGTATGCAGTATAATA